AAGACTCTCAATGCATCTGCCCTATACTTGGTGCATATAGACTCAGCAATAGATCCCTCGTGAGTCATAATGGTTTTATTTGTGAGGAGAGTTAGCTTTTTCTCTACTTCATCGAAATATTGCAAAACTGACAAGTTGCCCTGTCTAAGAGTAGATAGTTCTTGCTCTATAAGATATATTGGACGTTTGTCCGCATATGTGAAGTCTAGTCGAGCAATTATTGCTTCGAAATTAAGGACAGCATTAAAAGATGCCAGGACAGCATCAGCGGGTCCTTTCAATTTATTCCTAATTATTCCTACCGCTTGGTAGTGTCTAGAGCTACCTGCGTAGCCATGAGACGTAAGTACTCATTTGCCCATCGAATTCTGGCAACGATTTTACTAGGTCAAGAGGTTCCTCGCATCTCACGTTTCCTACTATTTTAACCGGCTCATAAATTTTAGGTTTATTTTCTGTAGCTTTTAATGTCGTTAGTCGTTCCGTAATACTTTGAAGTTTAACTTCAAAAGTCCCCTTTTGCTGTTGCAGTGCTCCAGCTACGGCAGCCTGCACTAAAGCGGTTATTTGGCTAGCGTCCATTACGTTAGCTTTTGAAAGAGTGAGTCTGTTAATTCTGTCTAGTAGCTCTTCTAGCTTGCAGTCAGAACTGCTCATTAAATCGTTGCAATAACAAGAACGGAAAAGGTCAGAAAAAAGGAAAAAAATGCAAAAGTTATAGCCCTGACACAATATTATTTTCCCAAACCTCACAATAGTTTCACAGTTTTTTCACAAAAAAAAATTGTTTGATTATATTTTTTTCATATAACTAGTTTCACAGTTTTCAACAAATTTTTTGTTTTATCTGTTATTTCTTTATGTAACGAGCACTCTACTTACATATTTATAACTCTAAATTTAAAGTGCTCCATCGTTGGCTCCGTAGTCCTTTACCAGTTTTTTTGTGTTCTGCTGTATCGCCCTTTTCCTTTTGGTTGTGGGTGTTTTCCTCTGTTGGTCGCCAGTNTTAAAGTGCTCCATCGTTGGCTCCGTAGTCCTTTACCAGTTTTTTTGTGTCCTGCTGTATCGCCCTTTTCCTTTTGGTTTTGGGTGTTTTCCTCTGTTGGTCGCCAGTTATTTATTGAGTTCATACTAAAAACTAAACTCTAAACACTTCAATACGTCTTATATAAAATGCTGCCCTAACTGCTGTCGCTTTGTGTTGTTGTTGCATTCCTTTTTCATTTGGTTGTAAATATGTTGGATCAGCGGATCACACGGCTATAGCTATGTGCTNACGTCTTATATAAAATGCTGCCCTAACTGCTGTCGCTTTGTGTTGTTGTTGGATTCCTTTTTCATTTGGTTGTAAATATGATGGATCAGCGGATCACACGGCTATAGCTATGTGCTGTATGTTTGTAGCCGCTCATCGTTGCATGTGTGTCGCATCGGCGTCTTTTACAATATTTATTATTGTCTTATTATTTGCTATNATGCTTTGCGAGTATGCTGAGTCAGCAGATCACACGGCTTTTGTTATGTGTTGTCTGTGTGTAGCCGTTGATCGTTACTTTGTTTATTATTATTAGCAGGTGTCATATTCGGTGCACTTGTTAAGCCGGCAATGCTGACTGTGTGCCATGGTGTAATGAACTGAAGGTGGCGCATTCCCGAAACCGCTACTTTGGTTTTGCCGACTTTGGCGTTTATGGCAATACGTAAACAAACTTTTTGGTTAGAAACAAGTGCAAACGTATTGCAAACGTATTGTGTACTTTCAAGTGAAAATTGAAGTAATTCGTGCGTTCTAAAGTAAAAAACGTTTTATTTGTAATAAAAACTTTATAAAAATGTCGTGTCGTGTGTTGAATTGCAGCAGCCGTATGGGTAAAGCCCCTAAATGCAGTTTTTTTCACTTTTTTTATTATCACTTTTTCGGCACCTGCAATACAAACATAAAAATTCTAAATAGTTGTTAATAACACCTATTATTTTGAACACATTTCAAGAGTGGTTGTATATTTTTTGTTAACGTTGTGCTTAATTTGCTATATTCAAAGATGGCTTGAGAAATTGGTGAATCGTGAAGAAAACACGTTTTCCCACTGCAAATTCACAACTGTCAACTCATTGTTCTTCGCCATATTCTTTGTTTACCCATTGCCACAAATGTCATTCTGCGGGAATGCGCAATCTTGTATTCTATCGTTCTTGACTGTGTGCTAGGGTGTTGGGTTAACTTATACATATAATATTCTTTCGAAATTCAGTTGTCGGTAGATTACTCACTAAAGGTATAAAAGAATTTAAAAATATCTACTACATACACAAACTGGCTTCAGTGTTTATTAAAACCCAAAATGTTGAAGAATCTTTTTTTGGTGTTTTTATGGTTGAATACTTACTGTAACACATTATTTGCATTGCGTAAGGCGTAAGTACGCCGTAAGCGAATGTGATTTTTGGTGACTTTAATGTTGAAGCACTTGACTTTTTTTGATTCAATAGCAACCCTTATTTTATATACATATGTACATGTACTATTTAACATTTCATGAGATAATTTGTTCCGCTTTTTACATTAAACACCAGCTACAATTGAAAAATTCTTTCTTAATCGGCGCTTGAATTGGTTAATGAGAGAAAAATTTGAAAATTGTCCTTATAATTTTTAATACTTATACATACTTTTACTCCACATCACATCTTCAGAACGGTTAATTACGTAAGAGTGTCGAATATTCTAAAATATTGATTAATTATGCATCGATAGTTGCGTTAAATGAAAATCCCTTTATTTGAAATGTCCCTTTTAATAAGTTTTGCTGCAAAACATCCCCCAAATAGGGAAATTACCCACAATCTGGCATCATTGTTTAAAAGCAGTTGAAGATGTTTGAAGTAAAAAAGTCAATTTTTATTACGAGCATATACATACGTATACGTAACCGCTAAGGCATCCAATCCCGGACTATTTTGTGAATCCCGGGATTTCGGATTTTAAATTGGTAATCTCGGAATTCCGGAATATTTAGGACAATCATGACCATCATATATATAAAAATATTAAGCCTGTTTCTTTAGCTTTAAAACGGCGTTAAAATGAAGCATCTACGATGAGCAAAACCCGAGATATAAAAATTTGAAAAAGTACATGATTAGTCAGAATCACGAAAAAATCCAAACTTTGACAAATCATACATATATCCGGACAAAAAAATAAAAATGTCAAGCCAATCGAAATTTTTACTCCAAATTTGTGTCCAATATAAAAAAGAATGCCTCATTTATATGTTATATATATTTGAATATAGAATAGTAGTAGTGTTAGAACTGTAATATATTATTTGAATATTTGTAAGGTTGCAATTTTATAATTCTTTGATGCCATTACAGTGTCTGAATGTTTTTTATTTTAATTTGGTCGTAACTTACATTATATCCCGGGGTCCCGGGATCGCGAGGGCTTGATTTCAAAAAAGTGCTCGGGACTCCCAGGATTCGGGATCCCCAATCCCGGTACTAGATGCCTTAGTAACCGCTCATGCAAACAAGCACGAGCATTTGCTAAACAATTTGTGAATAACAAAAGTTTAACTTTACCTGTAGTTATTTCTTTTTTTTTGAAGAGGAATAAACAAACTTTTGAAATCCACATATTGCATATAAAAATAAGAATAAATCAAGTGCACACAAGCAAAAAACTTTTTTCTAACTACATACCTAACCAAACATGAAAAGCTTTTTAAAATACGTGCATATGTGTATGCATGTATGTACATATATTGACATGTTGTCTTTTCTATCTCTTTGCAGTTACAAAATTTGTACGCATTGGTATTGCCGACAAAAACGACGCTCCACCGGATTTCGACAGATTTCTCTACGAGACTGAAATTGATGAAAATGCCGACCTGCAGACAACTGTACTCACCGTCAATGCCAAGAATCACAATGATTGTAAGTAAATAATATATTATTTATAGGGTAAGATTTACTTACACATACATAATCCGCGGATCCGCTGGCTTGGCCATGTCGTTCAAATGGACAGAAACGCCCCTGCTCTGAAAATATTCAACGCGGGCCGCGGGCTGAAATATAAAAAAATCTCTCGAAAATTGTATTCCAAAATTTTAATGTAATTGATTGATTAATCCTTATTAACACATATGAGCAAATCCCACGAGTTGTTTAATTTTTCGACAAAACGTGTTTCTGGTCGAAAATGGTGGTTCACCTATCTTTCAAAATGCATTATCTTCAGTTTTGTATAAAGAACAAGATTCCATCGCGAAATTGTGCTTAAATGAAAACTTTAAAAAGATATACTAAGAAAGTAAAAAAGTCTAAGTTCGGGCGGAGCCGAGCATTAAATACCCGGCGCAATCTTATCTTACTAATCTTATCTTACTAATATTATAAATGTGAAAGTTTGTATGTTTGGATGTTTGGGAAATCATCACGCGGAAACGACTGAACGGATTTGCATGAAATTTTATACGCAGATAGCTTATGGGCCACATTGGTTAATAGGCTATTTTTTTAAGAGTTGCCACCTGTTAAAAAGTTTAATTTATTTAATATGCGGGAACGACTGAACGGATTTGCATGAAAATTTGCACAAAATAGCTTATTACCTATGTAGATTGGAAAATAGGCTACTTTTCTTAAGAGTTGCCACCTGATAAAAAAGTTTAATTAAATTAATACGCGGAAACGTCTGAACGGATTTGAATGAAATTTTGCAAGCAGATAGCTTATGACCTACAGTGGAAAATAGGCAAATTTTTCGGAAGAGTTGCCACCTGTTAAAAAAACTAATTAAATTAATACGCAGAAACGACTGAACGGATTTGCATGAAATTTGGCACAGATATAGCTTATGACCTACGTTGGAAAACAGGCTACTATTTTAGGAGTTGCCACCTATTAGAAAATTTTAATTAAAGTAATACGCGAAAATGAATGAACTGATTTGCATTAAAGTTTGCATACAGATAGCTTATGACCTAGATTACTTTTTTAAGAATTTCCACCTGTTTAAAAATGAAATTTTGCTCACAGATGGTTTATTACCTGGATTGAAAAATAGGCTACTTCCTTAACCGGTCTCCCAATCAGAACGAAATTTGGTACACGTTAGATGGCGTTATACTGAAAGTGATTCCGATAACTCAAGTTTCCTTCCATACAAATTGGAATTTTCATATTACATACATGTCTTTGGAAGTATTTGTGGGAGAAAACTGGAACTTGGTATTGAGCTATGTATGTGAAATCAATGTTGGCATTAATCGATTGATTTTTTAATCAATTAGTTAATTCGATTGAATTCAATCTGCTTACAGTTAATCATGATTAATTTTAATCTGATTAAACAGTTAACAGTCAAACAGTTAATCGTAACCGCGATTAAAAATATAAAGTTTTTATCATTAACTATTAATGTGATCAAGTAGGTTTGGTGATTAATTAATTTATGCTGGAATTTTCCTGTGCACACAAAGCAAGTTAATCCGGTGTGGCTAAGTTGGGTTTCCTCCCCAGTCTGAGCAATTTGGTGTGCATTTTTATTAAGCTCTATACCAACAAACGTTTTACAAACTAGGTTTGTAAAAGTTCCCAGTTTATGTATTACTAATAACGATAATTATAATTGTTTTTTATATTATGTGCTTTTTATAAGCGTAAAATACAAAATAATTACTATAACTGGTGTTTGGTTTCAAATTCGGACAAACTAGACAACTTAATCAGATTTTATTTTTAATTGGATTGACGATTAATGATTAAAATTAATTAATCGTAATCGCAGACACCGATTAACGACTAAAAGAATTTAATCATTAATCGTACAGTTGATTACGAATAATTAATTTTAATAGTCAAACGCGATTAAAATTTTAATCGTTAGTCAGATTAACATTTTGCCAACACTGTGTGAAATCATATTCATACTCACAAGAAAAGTGGACGTTTTTGGAAAAGAGGCTGATTGAAAGTTTCATATTGCATATCTCTTCAAATGTTTGGGTAAAGTACTCAATCTTGGTATGGAAATACATATGTATGTATGTACGTATGTGAAACTAATACCATACTCATGGAGAAAAATAAGAGTTATTGGAAAAGATGGTGTGGCAACTCCCATGCAAATTGATTTTTCTATGCTGCATATCTCTGGAGGTGTTTATTGCAGAGGACTGGAACTTGGCACCGAGATGTGTATACAAAATTAATTCCATACTCATGGAGAAGAATTTGCGTTATTCGAAAAGGGGACATGGTTCCTGCCGTACAAATTTACTGTTTTATACTGCTTATCTCTAGAGGTGTTCATGGTGGAGTTCTGGAACTTGGTACTGAAGTATGTAAAATCAATTCTAAATTCATGGAAGAAGATTAGGGTTATATGAAAAAGGGGCGTGGCACTTCCTGTACAAATTGACTTTTTCTTGCCATATATCCCTGGAAGTGTTTGTGGAACAATACTGGAACTTGGTATGGAGTTGTGTATACAAAATGTATCAATTGCTCATGGAAAAAATGTGAGTTATAAAAAAAGAAGGCATGTCGCCTCCCATACATACTAAAAACTTCTTAATACATATCTCTGGAAGAATAGAAAATCTTTGGAAAAATTTTAAATTTGTTATGAAGATTTATTCTATAAGTGCCGTACTGACAGAAAAAAATTCATTTAATGGAAAAGGGAGAGCCGGGTTCGGCCTTATAATCTAAAGCTCTCTTGAGGCATTTGCTACAGTAATGAGAAGTGGTATTTTATCAAGGCCAGGTTACAAAATTTGAGTTGGAAATATTAGAACCCGCCTTGGCACCTCCAAGAAGGTTACACGTTCACGCGCCGTATAACTGGAACCATTTTAAAGTATACTTAGAGGGATTGATATTTTTCGTATGCCTAGCGCGCAGATGAGATTTTATAATTTCATTGTTTTAAACGGCCTAAGTACCTTAACTCGCTTAAAAAATAACGAGCTATAACGAAATGTGCACAGAAATAAAACATAAAATCATTAAATTATTTTACATATTTGTATAAAAACGTGTGGTGAAACCCGCGGGTATAAGCTAGTCAGCCATAAATTTGGAACCATAGTCACATGAACTTGGAATTTGGTATGTAGACATATGTATGTATATATTGGAGGTGTTTAGATTAAAGTATAGAAAGATGAGTTTGTAAAAGGGGGATAAATATGTATTCGTCTATTATATCACTTGGATATTTAAAACTGTGTTTTTTTTTAACCTTACAGTCTTTAGACCACTGTGAAATGGAAATATTAAATCCGTTTTTTGATCCCGCGATGTTGTTAAACGAAAAATGTTCATTCGTTATGAATAGAACTTTTTCCGAAATAAACATTCTACCGGAATAGTGTAGCTATACTAAAACAGCTAAGCGAATAGGCTGCTAAACGAAATGTACCGTAATAGACTAACTTTAATTTCAAAATTCTATCGTTACCTTAATCCGCCTAATATTAATAATGAAATAAGATTTAAAGTACAGAAAATGGTGACAAATATATAGTTATTGAAGCACGATAAAGCTAAAAGTATGGTTCATAAGGATGCCTTAATTTAAACAGGAAAAAAATAGTTTGTCTCCTTTAATTTATGCTGAACTGAATATTTGTATTACTGTTTTATATTTTGATTTGCTTACTTGCTTACTCCGAACGACGTCGGGTGCTCTGCTAGTTTTGTTATAAACGTATTTTGTGCTAAAGAATTATTGCAAACAACAATTTTCAATAAATTTGCTTCAGTATTTACTGATTTATCGAAGATTTCGTATTTCTCCAAGTTACCGTGCCAAGTTTGGGGGAAATTGGTGCAGCGGTTACCGAGATATATATATGTATGGGCTACGCCCATTTTCAAAAAATTTATAATATTCTTTTTTTTCGTCTAAAGATCATTGTAAATATCAATTTCGAGTGAATAGGCTTAAGTAGTTATTAAAATATAGCAGTTTTCGTATTTCTGAAAGCTACCCTTATATGGGAGGTATGCGTGGTTATTGGTCGATTTCGGCCATTTGCAATACCATATGTCCTACGCTGAAAAGAAATCCTAATACCGAGGTTCGTTAAGATATCTCAATTTTTACTCGAGTTATCGTGTGCACAGACGGACAGACAGTTACCGTTTAATCGATTTCTTTTGTCATTCTGATCATTTATGTATACATTTGTCTATATCTATCTCCATTCGTTTTGCCTGTTACAAACAACCGTGATGTGAACAAAGTTATACGGGTATAAAAAGTAAAAATAACCCGTAGTATACGCCCCGTATCACCATACGAAGTCATCTAACAAGTTTACTCGCACGCCTTAATTTAAAAGCCATATTATTTAAATTTATTTTTTACACAATATTCCTTATTAGTGATGTGCTCAGTCAATACTTTTAAGTATTGATCGATATTCGATACCGATTTATAAAAGTATACATAGGCTAAAAATATGGAAAAAACGGTTCAGTGGAGACTCGCCTATCAAAACCCAAATGTAGGAGCCAGTAGAACTTTTAATACTGATTAAAATGAAAGATGTACATACAAATGTCGGTTCGAGGCCATAATGCAGAGAAACTCTTACTTGTTTGAAGTATTTTTGTTCCAGCTGAATCGGACGATATCATTTTTGTAGGCCTGGGCACAGATTCTGTAACCATATAGCGACAATATTCGAATCGGTATCGGTTTTGTTGACGTATGGTATGAAATATTTTTACGTCAACAAGTGCGATATCGATCCGAAACTTGTCGCTAACTGGTTACAGAATCTCCCCCCTGAAAGCCTTCTTCATCCGTCAAAGCATTTTGCTTTGATCGACTAAGTTTAAAACTGATAAAATAATATTTCTCTGTTGCGATATGTTCAAATGTTTTAGCCGATATCATATGTTTTAGTTAAAATTTT